CTACAAAAAAGTTTTTCACAAAAATTCTCAGGAATTATATACTTGTGATGGAGACTGCTAGCTGTCAATTTAAATACCTCTTGAAATGCTGCAGTAACAATATTTTAGCTTGGCACATTAAGGGCTAGTCTCAGTACATTTCCCAACTTCTCCTGCAACTTAGATATAACCATGTGATCAATAGTATATTCAATGGAATGGCAGCAGCATTGATGTGCACCACTTCCCACCTAGTATCCACGCTGCCGACGTCTTTCTTTCCCCTTACTCTGAGCTTGAGCTAGTTCATATTTGCGGGCTGGATTTGATCATTCAGACAAAGACATCGCTCCCAAGGGATGGTGAAGAAACAAAATGGGAGGAACCTGGATCTTTGAATGATTGGTGGAGCAGAGCTACCCACTAAACTGAAATTTCTCATTTCTACCTTATAGAATCACTACATTTTCTGGTAATAGCACTTGTTATAATACAAAGACCTTCTATATCCTACATTTTCACCTAACAAGTGAGACTTTTTCCATATTGGTACATAGGGAAAGATATCAGTCTTTTTAATGGTTACACAATAATGCACAGTAAATTAATTGCTTAGTCCCCTACTACTGGAGTCATCGGTTTCTTAATTTCTGTTGTTTTAAACCATTCAGTTTGTGGCAATTTGTTAAAGTAGTCACAGGAATCTGATACAGAATGGAAGAAAAAAACAGATTTGGCAACAGAAACAATACCAACAATCTTGAAACAATCTTGAAAAATTCTCTCAGAATACAGATGAAGAATAGACAAAAAACTATATATGAAAGAAGAAAGGAACCATGTAGGGAAGATACATTTATAAATTAGTGTTTCTAAAGAACAGACAATTAATGAATCAGAAATAATCAAAGAAAAGAAAATAATCATCAAAAGAAAATAAAAGAATCTGTAGGGATACCTATGTAAAGATTAAGATAACTGGGGTCTGGGTATAACTCAGTGGTGGAGCACATGCTGTTGATCACAACAGAAATTTGTTCTCTCAATTCTGGAGGCCTGAAGTCCAAAATCAAGGTGTTGGCAGGACTGTGCTCCCTCCAAAGGCTCAGAGAGAGAGTTCTCTGGTCTGTGAAAATATCACTCCAACCTCTTCCTCCATGGTCACATTGCCTCCTTTTCTTCTGTGTGTCTAGTGCTCAATCTCCCTCTCCCTCTCTCTTATGAGCATACAAGTAATTGCCTTTAGGTCCCACCTGAATAATCTAAGATAAGCTCCTCCTCTCAAGATTTTTATTTTAAACACGCCTTTTGCCATATAAGGCATTAGTCATTCTTGCCATGTATGTTAATATTCACAGATTCTGTGAATTATGCCCTGGATATATCGTTTGGGTGGCAACCATTCAGTCCACTACACATTCTAATTTTCAATTTGGCTTTCTTATTTTCATTTCTACCAAATATTTTATAGTACTGTGATGAATTGATTTTTCTACCAACTATTTTTAAGAAAGATAGCTATGACTGCCTGTTTTGAGTATGTATCAAATAAAACTTGGCCTTAGTTGACTAACATATGTGCCAACCTAGATCTTTCACAGGTAGACTTGGCAATGTTTGTATCAAAGAAAAAATGGTTGATAGAAATTTCAAGACAAAGAAGCCTATGGGACAGGTGGGTGGAAAGAAGTGTAATCCTTAACAACCAGTAGCTTCGTCATATCACTATAGTCATGGGATACCCCTGCATTCACTGTTATTAAGGTCACCAAATGCCTTCAGCTTATCAAATGGAAATGTCATCTTTCCTTCCTCATTTTTTTTTTTCCTTCTTTCAGACGCATCTCCTACAGTTAACCATTTTGGCATTTTGACTCATGTTCTTCACTTGGCTTCCAAGTACCCTTACCACCATTGTTTTGGTTTCTCTCTTATTTTGCTAGTCTCATCATTCTCTTTTGTTAGCTCCTTTACCAGAAGTTAAAATACTGTAGTGCTCTAGGACTTAGTCCTTAAACTCAGCCTCCATATTCATTCTTTCATAAGGTGATCTCATTCAGAACTGTGACTCATTTCTACATCAGGATCTTACAGCAGCAGTTTCCTTTATCCAAAAACCTATCCCAGACCATCATATAGCTAGTTTCTTTTCATGATTCATTTATATTTCCCATGTTTATATTTCTACGTAATGTGTGCGAACATAAAACTCATATTCTTATCTTCTTCCTTATCTTGGTTAATGTTATCATCATTCACCCAGTTGTTCAGACTAAAGACGTAGGTATCACCCTAAAATATTCCATTCCTCTTATCACTAAAGTCAAACCCATCAACTGGTATTTTTAGCTCCCACTTCATAACAGATCCAGAAATTGACCTTTCATCACAATTTCCTTGGTATAGTAGGCAGAATTCTAAAACAGACCACAAGATCTCCCATCCCTGGTATATGTGCTCTGCATAATTCCAAAGACAGTGAATATAATGTAATGGACTTTATACTTCCATGATTAAGTTATATTATTTGGCACAATTGACCTTAAAATAGGGAAATTATCCAGGTGGGACTGACTCAATCACCTGGGCACTCTAACAGCAGAGAGTTTTCTCCGGCTGGTCATAGGAGAGAAGTCAGAGATTTGAATTGCGAGAAGGACCTGACAGGCCTTTGCTGACATGAAGATGGTGGGAGCCATGTGTCAAGAAATGTGGGCAATCTCTGGCAGCTGAGAGCAACCCCTGGCTGAGAGCCAGCAAAAAAGTGGGGACACAAGTCCTAGAACCACATGGAACTGAATTCTGCTAACAACCTGAATGAGCTTGGAAGTAGATTCTTCCCGAGTCTCCAGATAAGAACTCAGTCAACACCTTGACTTTGGTCTTTGAGACCCTGAACAGAGAATCCAGCTACATTGTGCCTGGACTTTTAACAATAAGTGGCTGCTCTTTAAAGTCACTAAGTTTGTGATAATTTATCATGCAAAAATAGAAAACCAATCCACATGCTAAAATCCTAATCCAAGATACCAGCCTGTACTACAGAAACAATCTTCTAATTGTGCTTGCCTTCTCTTTGTACATTTGTTTTCCTATACTCCGTTATTGACACAACAGTAAGAGTAATACTTTGCTTTCTTTTCAAAACATAGATGAAATCATGCTTTTCAGTGGCTTTGCCATTATGTAGAATAAATCCCCAAATCCTTAACATGGCCTATGGTATTTCATTTGGTTTAGCTGCCACCTAACTCTACCTCAACTCCTAACTCTAACCACAGTCATTCATTTTTCACACTTGCAAACTCATTCTTACTTCTTACTACTTCTACCTGAAATATTCTTTAGCCATCTTCAGTCTTTTGGTTTTCACCTGAAATGCCACCTTCTTTGCAACTGTCTTATCCATATTCCATACTAGGTATTCCCTATTTGCTTATTGCACTTTGATATATGACATATTTTATTATCTAATTAACTATTATTTTTTATGTGTTCATTTATTTATTATTTGTCTCTCTTCCAAGATTATAAACTAAATATGGTCAGTCTTTTTTGGTCTTGTTAGTAGACAGATCAGAGCCTTGTACATAGCTGCTGAGTGCATAAATGAAGACCAGAACCCCAGAGGAACCTCTTCCCTCCTCCCTGTCAGTGCCCAATTCTCTGTTTGAATTTTCAGTACGAATCAGTAGCTAATTTTCAAAAGTTTCTCCATGTAATAGATATCATCCCAGTGCTTCCAGTCTGTAGGAATGAAAGGAGGCCTAAAAAGTTTTGCAGTCACTCTACATTCCAAACTTGTTTTGCATGACAGTGTTCAAAGTCAGCAAAGTTTCCATTTAGGAAGGGGCTTTCCGAATCTAATTCAACTTACATTATAGTTCTGTTGTTTTCCCTATTTAGGGTGAATACAACCATTAATTGGTAATCAATATTTTGAGGTTTTTTTTTCCTTTCACTTTTTTGGTTTAGTCCCAGAAGCATTTTAGTTGTAAGAAATTCCTTCTCAATCCTAGCATATAGTCAATTTTTCTTGACATGTTGGTTAAGACATTTTCTCACTTAATTAGAAGTTTTAATAATATTACTTATAGTATCATATTGACCTGTAAGAAAACTTGAGACTTTCCAACAAAGTTCTGCAGAGATGGAGACTATTTTAGAAGGGAGTTATTTCTCATTATTGGAAAGTTTTTAGGTATAGATAAACAATCACATGGTAAGTGTTAAGAATTCAAGTTTCGAATGGATAGCTTGACTAGAAGACTTTTGAAGTACTCTTTCAAATCCAAGATATTATGATTCCTGTTATGTATAAGACTAGTCCCAATTAATAATGCAACCTCTAGGGGATAGTCAACTTTAAGTGTCCTTCATGTTATAAAAATGATATAATCCTGAAACAATTCTTACAACATACATTTCAACACACCTAATCTTACTTTCTTTTGAGTTTTATTATAAATATGGAAATAAACTATTTTGGAAAATAATTTAAATCCCATGTTAATTAAGCTAGCTATTGTGAAATAATACTAAAGTTAAAATTCCTTTGGCTAGTAGTATTTCACTAGTCTATATGAAAAATCAGTATGCCTAAATTATGATGTATTTAATAACAGAATTTAAAATATTTCAATTAAAAATCTTTAATTAGTATCTTACATTTAATTCTTTTATAGTTCACAAAGACATTTAGAAGAATATGTTGAAAGTAAGAAAACTTTAACCTTGAAAAATTCCCAATTTATTTATACATTCTTTAAAAAATTTAAAGTAACTTACCCTGGTGCATAGTTGCATATGAAAAGTGCTGCATGTTTAATATGTCCAATTCTTGAACATGGAGTAACAGCACAACCAACTTTGTAAGACCTGTCCCAAACAAGCTAAAACAAAATTTTTAAATAAAACATAAATTTAATTCTAAACATTTACTCTGTCACAATACAGACAAGAGTATATTCAATTCACATAGAATCTTTAACCAAACAATTCAAGGAATATGAATTATTCTTCATTTGGATGCAGGTAGAGAATTATCACGGACTTAGGGAAGCATTTCCAAGTGCATGCAGAGAAACACTTTAACGGATTCTACCAAAACTGTATTCTTAGGATAAAGAGTTTTGAGAAAAACGAATCCAGAATAATGTTTTAGAGCCTAAAGAAGACACACCTGCTGAATCAACTTTCAATCTTTTGTTGAATTTGAGAATTCTAGGTTATTGGCAGAGAGGAAGGGGGAAACAAGAGAAGGAAAAGTTTTGGAAGAATGGAAGTTGTGAATAGAGAGGAAAAAAGAGGGGACAGTAAGATTACAGAAGGGGAAAAAAAACAATACAAGGGCAGAAAGTAATTAAATGCTATCAGCATTTTTCTTTTGTTGAGGAAATTCCATTATAAAATAAAACAGAGTCTGAGCCTTCTATTAAAAAAAAAGTGAATAGAAGAGCTGGTTCCTATAAAATAATGTCTTGAAAAACAGGTCTTGGAGCAAAAATATGAGAATAATTAAAGATATTCCATAAATTTATGAATGGCTTTAATATTCTTAATATTTTCAAGTGAACAACAATACCTGTCTCATTTTGTTAACCTCTGCAGGAGAGAGAGGAACCACTTGTTTTCCGTTTCTCTATATCCCAAGCCTTAGTGATTTTACGAGTGTGATTCCAAAAGAAATAGTGACGCATTCAAAGAATAGAGAATAGAATGTCTGCAACAGTTGGACTGCAGTTAGACAAGTCAAATGCAGGCAATGAAAATGTCTAGGAGACTGAAATTAAGGAGGCAAAAAATACAGAGGTATAGGTCAGGGAGTAGACATGGCTGGTTTACTCAGAGAACTGAAGTCTTATTAAGGAGTCCAGGTTTGACATGAACAAGACAATAGAGAACAAGTCTAACTTTCTAGAAGAAAGAACTGATCAAAAAATGTCTGAAACATGATTCATTTGATGGAACAGAAAGACATGGGCTCAACATCAAAAATTCCAAGATTTTAAGTTCTATATCAGAGTCTACTGCTTGAAAAATAATCACCTTTTAAATAAGCTTGGAAATTAATTCACTAACTTCTTGATTCCTAATACAGATATTAATTGAACACCTAAATAATGTCATGTTGTGTTCAGAATATATGGTAAGACAAGTTCCCTGCTCTTAGTACAGTATCAGATAAATAGATGATTATAAAATAATGTGATATGTGAAATAATAAATGTATGCACAGAAAAAAAATAGTTCAGTATTTTTGGAACACATAGTGTAAGGGTGGATTGTTAGACATGCGGCAGGAAAATAATATTATGTATTTGCGCTTGAAATATTTTAATCAGTTAGTTATCTAGTAGTATGTGTATTGACCTGTGCAAAAAAATCAAGTCTTTTGCTATGTTTGTAGTCAATAAATTAAAAATAATTGTTATTTGGTGGTTTCTTACTTCCTTTTCTAGTGTGCATTACTTTAGAAAAGCACCTTTCATCTTTGGGTATGGAGATTAAATTTGCTATATTTAAAAGAATGTTTTAATCACATGGTTCAAATAATAGAAGGAATTACAAACATTTAGAAGATCTAAGACTAATTAGGAGTTTGATTCTATTAGAGGTAATAATTTTACCATTTGATTTGATTTATAAAATTGAAACATAATCAATAAAAACTTGGTATTAAAGCAATTAAGGAGTCTACTGGATTAATAATATAAAAATTACATACCTGTATATAATTAGAACAGTTAGCAGAGCAACTATTCTTTTCAAAATTGTACTTTTTCCTCTCTGCAAACCAACTTCTGATAGCAATACTTGCAGTAAATTCATTTTCAGGGCCGACCCAAATATTTTCACCAATGCCATTAAATATAGGATGGGCCATTTTTAGTTCTTCTAAATGAGTGTTACGCTCAAACACACATTTTTTCCCCCATGCTCTAGCAGTCCGTGACAAGGCTACATCCCAAGTCTGAAAAAAATGCAAAAAGTAAAGAAAACAAAATAGTAATAATGAGGCATTTTTGTGCTCGAAATTATTCTCCTTGAGTTCTCATAGTTATATTTAAAGAAAACAATTCTTACTTTGTGCTTTTGGGTCTGGTTTGTGAAATTTATATGGGGGGGAAAGTTTTTTGAGATAATCATAAATAAAACAACTATTTCTTGAAGACAAGGCCTATGCATATACTTGTAATTAAAAAATCAGATTGTTCAATGATGCAAATGATTATAGTACTTTTACATGTAGCTTGTTCAGAACTGTATAATACTCTTACATGTAGTCTATTCAGAAAATGTATATTTTTAATCTCATGCCCTTTATACATAATTCAAAATATTTATATGATAATTCAAACTATTCATCTAAGAACTATTTATTGAGCAATGATTATATGCGAACTGTTGTGAGGAATAAAATACAAAGTCAACATAAATTTTGATCTCTAGTTGCTTACTGTTGTTGGGAGAATACTCTGGGATTATATATATATACATGTATGTATATATACATTCATATAATTATAATTTTAACACACAGTGGTAGTTGGTAAATGTTATAAAAGTTTTACAGATGTTCCTAGAAATGTGAGAAAATATCACAAGATGCTGCTCCCTGGCTAGCAATCTGGAAACACCCAGAAATGTGTACTTTTATTATATTTAGAGGCTCATTATGTTCATTGTTTAGTAAAGGACAAGAACAAAAACAACACACATAGAAAAGTCAACAAAATAGTTGTAAAACCAACATGCCAAGTATTTATGTTACAGTATATCTGAAAGTAAGTAAACATTTCTTAAAAACAATACTGAGATGTCCTTAGAGTTTTCTTAGATAATTTCATAGATTATACATGACTACAGAAAATATATTACAGAAAATAAATCAACCTTTTAGAATATCCCCCTCCTCCCCACACTATTTCCCTCCCCAAAGGTAATCACTGTAAAAAAATTTTTATGTATACATTTCTCTGTCTCTATAGACACACACATTCAAATAGAAGTTAGGATGCTTTAGGTGAGTGTTTTGTGATATTTGTCCTTGTGCTGCTTTAATCATACCATACAGAATATTACTGGCCTACCACTTGCAGTTTTCACTTAGAGAGAGGGTTGCATAGTAGCACAACTAGGTCTACCTAATTTTTACAGACTCTACATAGTATTTCATAGGATGGCTAGCATACAATAAATGTTACCAGTCCACTAGTAATGATCTTTCAGATTCTGTCCCATTCACAAACAATGCTCCATGGTCCTTCTTTCTACTGCCTTACTTTGCATATTATTTGCATACCAGATGCTTACTATGCACCAGTCACTAAGTGGCTTTTTTTTTCCCTTCCATTTTTATTGATATAATTGACATAGAGCATTCTATAAGTTTAAGGTGTACAGCATAATATATCATGAAATGATTACCACAGTAAGTTTAGTGCACATCCATTATCTCATACAGATATAAAAGAAAAAAATTTTTTCCTTGTGATGAGAACTCAGGATTTACTCTCTTAACAATTTCAGATTAACAGACAGCAGTATTAATTATATTAATCATGTTGTACATTACATCCCTAGTATTTATCTTATAACTGGAAGTTTGTACCTTTGATCACCTTCATCCAATTCCCCCTCCCCTCAGTGTCCACCTCTGGGAACCACAAATCTGATCTCTTTTCTATGAGTCTGGGTTTTTTTTTTGAAGTGTAGTTTCTGGTAAACAACATAGTGATTGGATATTTCCATTCATTACAAAATGATTAGCACAACGAATCTAGTTATGATCTGTCGCCAAAGATATTACATTATCATTGACTGTATTTCCCACATTGTATGTTTCATCCCCATGACTCATTTATTTTGTAACTGGAATTTTGTACCTCTTAATTTCCCTCACCTATTTCACTCATCCCCCATCCCCTCTCCTCTAGCAAACACCTGTTTGTTCTCTTTTTCCATGACTCTGTTTCTATTTGATAATGGTTGTTTATTTGTTTTGTTTTTTAGATTCCACATACAAGTGAAATCCTATGGTATTTTTCTTTCTCTGATTAATTTCACTTAGCATATCTTCTAGGTCCATCCATGTTGTCACAAATAGCAAGATTTCATTCTTCTCATGGTTGAGTAATATTACATTGTGTATATATACATCTTCTCTATTCACTCACATAT